CTGTAACTAATTGTATAACCCATATTAATGTTTTCATGTCATACATTTTTTATTGATTTATTTTTTTTTTGTGTGAAAATCAATACAATCTTATAAATAAAGTAGAATCCCTGAGGAACACTATTAATGAAGAATAGCAGATACAGTATATGGAGTGAGCAAATATGACCCAATGCCAGAATTTATTACATCTCTATAAATAAAAAAAAGTTTAAAACATGAAAGAGGAACTTCACTCTCTGAACAACACTTGACTATTTCCTATCCTTATGCTGCTAGCATTAGAAAAGAGATAGGAAAGTGTATTCTATTTACTGGTTTTAAACTATTTTTTACATGTCTTTAGTCATTTCCTAGTTTCTATGCCTAGGCAAATGATGTCATACATTCCTGGAGTCTTCAGGAGGGGTTTTCTCAGCTAAGCACACCCACCTGCTTGTATGCCTGAACTAAAGGCAGATGGATTCCAGGACGTAGTTGCTACATGAATCATCTGCCCCTTACTCAAGGTGACCACAGACTGAAATTCTAGGGGGAGTTTTTAAATGTGATTCCTCAGCAAAATAAAACATGGAGACATGGATGGATGGGGGAGTTTGCTTTGAATATTAAAAATGAATGAATTAGTCCTTTTGGATTGCGGTGCTCAGATACAGCGTAGTTCCACTTTAATACATGTTGGAAGGTTTTTATTTTGGACAGTAAGCAGTCAGTGGGCTGGCTCTTGGGAGGAGCTTTACCCCCCTCAAAGTATTTTGATATGTGCACATCTGTCTGGAGGAGTGACGTTCCTAGCAAGCTGTATTTGCCTGCAAACCTCTCTAGATAATGATCCCATGTGATGCGGAGCCTCCAAGATGGAAAATACAGAAATCCAATGGATGATAAATGTGGGTCAGGAACAGTCAGTCTGTGGAGGAATCTATGGTAATGGTTCTGGATGTCCTCCAGCCAGGATATGAGGCGGAGCTCTATCTGACTTGCTGCAGCTTCTAATGCACATTGTGAGAATCTCACAGTGTGCAGTGGAATCAGAGTAAGCCATTTCAGTCCAGGAGAGGGTCCTGTACAACTGTCTGCTGGTAAGGCTGAGGTTTAGCTTTAAATGAAGCATAATATATTCTCAGCCTGGGATCAGCAGATCTTATTAACATGTTTGAGAATCTCAAGTGAAGATAAATAAATACTAGCTACAAATTTCCAGTTCTTCATCTAAGTTAGATTCTTTTTATTTTCACAGATCAAGCAATGGCAATGAAGCTCCTGGACAAAAAAAGAACCAGCCAGCATTCCTTCCTTCGGGAGTTTAGTATCTCATTCTTGCTATCATCTCATGCCAACATCATCGGATGTTATGGGACCGCCTTCACCACCGACGACTACTACGCCTTTACCCAGAACTGGCCCCGGTTGGTGATCTCTTCTCCCTGATCATACCACATGTAAGTACATGTTTCTTAGTTTTATGTAGAGGAGAGTTCAAATGTCTTTCCGTTTATTTTATGCTGTCTGTTTCCTTTAAGGGGGAGATTTCCCTTCACTTCCTGTCCCAGAGATGCAACAGAAACTGAGAGGAAACTCTCTAAGTTGACATTGAACTTCTCCATTGGAAATTTTACATTTTCCTCTTTTTCTTAAAACTCCAATATGTTGAATGTCCCATCACTTATTCCTTTTTTTATTATATCTTTTATTTGTTTTTCCAATACAAAAAGAACAATTTAATTACAAAAATATTTCACATATACATACTTCCATTTTACCCCAAATTAACCCCACCCCCCCCCCCCACCCCACCCTCCCCCAACCCCATAACCCCATCCACATCTTTACTCTTTACTAATCTATATCTATCTCTCTAATTGTCTATCTGTATCTGAATCTACTCTCTCCTATTACTTATTCCTAATCACAGTAGTCACCCGAACATTTATAAAAGGTGCCGTATCCCCCCTTTTCTGGCTAGCCAGGCTGCATGCTACGATTATGGGTCTAGTATGGATTTTTGAATTTTTTGGGTGACCTCACAATTTTATTTTTTTTTTTTTTTTTAGGTGGGAATTGAACAAGATGCAGTAAAGCGGTGTGCTGTGCAAATGTCTGATGCCCTTGAATTCATATCAGAGAGAGGACTGGTACATTTGGACATCAAGCCAGAAAATATTTTAGTTTTTGACTGGGAGTGCCATTGTATCAAACTGACGGACTTTGGCCTTACTAAAGTCAAAGGGACTGTAACTAGAAAGTGTGGCACCACCTCTTTCATGGCTCCAGAGATGTGTAAAGCAGCCATGTCAGATGGGTTAGCTGTGGACAGTAGCCTTGATGTATGGGCGTTTGGTGTCGTCATCTTCTCCCTACTTACAGGAGAGATGCCATGGCAGGAGGCCATCCTTGATGATGCAGATTATAAAAGTTTTGTAAACTGGCAGAACAATTTCCAGATGGAAAAGCCTCCTGATTCATGGAGAAGAATTCCCATTAAGCTAAGAAGGATGTTTGGTGATCTTCTGGCCATTGACCACACAGAAAGATGTCACACTACAGAAGTCATAAAATATATCGATGTAAGCTGGAAAAGAAGAAAATCCACATTCAGCTACAAGGAAAGAAGATGAAAATCCTAAAGAAAGCATATCTTCCGTACAACCCAAAGAACCCTTGTGTAAAGCTTCTCTCCAAAACACCCCACAGAGTAGTGCTTCCATAAAGTCTACTCTCATCTCCATGTCTTACGTCTTATTTGCAGACAATTCTAGAAGTCCAGAATGGCAGAGACACAATTTGCTGAAAAGGGATGAGCTCAGTTCAGTCCAAAGTTCAGACTAAAAAGTGGCTGTTCAGACATTTGTCTGAAGGTTTAGGGCATTTTGAGTGGACAAATGTGACTGCTTCTGTCTGGCAATGGTTGCTAAAAAGTAGCGAGTAGATCCAGCTTCATCCTTACCAACCACTGACATCACCAGGCTTATTCACTTACATGGCCGGTAACTTCTAGCTACATGGCCATGGGCAAGTTTGGACAATGATGTCACCTCTATCCCAACTTCTTTTTATGTAGTTGAGGACAGCTCAGGATAGTGGTGGACATCGTGATTGACAATATATTTAAGAGGAACGTTTTAGGGATTTTCATTTTTAATCACCTCAATACTGGGCACATTCACCCCCTTCCTGCCCAGGCCAATTTTCAGCTTTCAGGACTGTCGCACTTTGAATGATAATTACTCAGTCATGCAGCACTGTACCCATATGAAATTGGTAACATTTTTTGGAGACAGAGCTATCTTTTGGTGGTATTTAATCACCACTGGGTGTTTTACTTTTTTTCCCTATAAATGAAAAAATTGCAAATTTGAAAAATTGTTTTTCTAAGTTCTTGTTATACGATTTTGCAAATATGTATATTTTTCTTCATAAATTTTAATAAAAATGTATACTGCTACATTTCTTTGGTAAAAATAACCCAAATCAGTGCGTATTATTTGGTCTGTGAGAATGTTATAGTCTACAAGCTATGGTACCAACATTGATAATTGATCACACCTGATGTACTGACGGCCTATCTCATTTCTTGAGGCCCTAACATGCCAGGACAGTACAAATAACTCCCAAATGACCCCTTTTTGGAATGTAGACAGTCCAAGGTATTTAGTAAGAGGCATGGCAAGTTTTTGTGAAGTTGTAATTTTTTTCACAATTTTTTGAAAAAGAGGAAGTTAAATATTTTTTTTTTTCCACAAAAAATTCATAATAAGTTATTTCTCTCACACGGCATAGGCATGCTTCCAATTACACCCTAAAACACATTCTGCTGATTCTCCTGAGTATGGCGACACCCCATGTGTGAGACTTTTTCACAGCCTTAGCCACATAGAGGCCACAGAGAGGCCCAACATCTAAGAAGAACCTTCAGGCGTTATCCACTTTAAGACCAGGCTGTCTTCTGACACTTTTTTGCTTACAAGTAAAAATCAGTATTTTTGCTAGAACTTCGATCCCCCAAACATTACATATTTTTTTAGCAGAGGCCATAGAGAATACAATAGTGGGTTTTGCAAATTTCTATGTCACATGGTATTTGCGCAGCGTTTTTTCAAACGCAATTTTACACACTAAAGTAAAAATACACTTTATTATATTTTATTGCACACAAACACAATATAATAGCAATTTGTTTTGTAAAATATAAAATATGGTGGTGCTGTGTTGAGTAAAGAGATACCAAACATGCCGCAGTTAAAAATTGTACACGCTTGTGAAATGGCACAAACTTCAGTAATTAAAAATCTCCATAGACAACGTTTTGCAAGCCTTTGCATATTACCAGTTTAGAGTTACAGAGGAGGTCTGGTACTAGAATTATCGCTCTCGCTCTGACATTCATGACAATACCTCACATGTGTGGTGGTGCGATCACCATTTACATATGTGTACAGGACCCCAATGCGTGCGTTTGCCTTTGCACAGGGGGATGGGGGCATTTTAATATTTTTTATTTATTGGTGGGACACTAGTACATTGTCAGATGTTTATGTGCATTTGTACATTGTGACAGATGTTGATCACCCACCGGGACACCGACAGATGTGGATGTTGCGGTTGGAACACAATTGCAGATGTTTTGTACTCTGGTACACTGTGACAGATATTGATGTGATTGGTATACTGGGATAGATGTTTTTATGTTGCACTGGCACAGATGTTGATGTGACACTTGGACAGGGACAGATGGTGCTTCATGTACTGTGTGGGGATGGCAGCAATCTTTGCGTTCTCTGTATAGAGCTGTCACAGGTCCGCAGCATCCCCCTCCCCCCCGCACTGAGCTCTCACTTAGCACAGCGGGTAAAGCCAACACAGAGACACGTGTCTTGAATGATGACTGTGATTGGACAAAGCCAACATGTGCTGAGGAGGGCCAATCACAGCGCCCATATCCCGGTCTGTGATGTGCTGTGTCCGACAGGCACCGCCATCACAGGAGCGCACCGTTCTCTCAGAACAGGAAAGCTCCCACCCGGCCATTTATGTGCAGTTGTTGGGTGGGTAGCAGTTAATAAAGGACTTGTCAAGCACTGGGGTGTCTTTTGTATCTTTGTCTTTATTGCGGTTTGTCATTTACATGAGTAGGGTTACTGTGTACACTATACTCTTCACATAGGATGGATGAATTGGGGCCCCATTATTGTTATATGATCAGGTGGTAAAAGGATGCACTGTGATTGGCCTTTTACCTCACCATGTGATCAGCTGTGTCCGTAGGACACAGCGATCATGGACAGCACCACTTCTGGGGTGTGCGCGGGGGGGGGGGGGGGGTGCATTTTGGGAGGATGTCATATGATGCCCTCCCATAACTGGACAACCGCGTTGTAGCCGTCATTCGGCTGAAAAAATGAGGGTGAAAGTAGTGCTGACAATAGTAAAACCATCAATATAAAGAACCCAATTACCTAAAAGGGGAAACATAGCAAGCATAACAAATGTATATAAATTAAAGTGGACCGATCTAGTATAGAAATTGTCAGGAAATAATATTGAATGACAATAAAATCCAAATCAAAGTGTAAAGTTACATAATTACATATTACAGTTAGTGTGGCTGAAAAAAGACAAAAGTCCATCCAGTTCAACCAAAAAAAAATGATCCTATACCCACAGCATGATCCAGAGGAAGGAAAAAAAAACAGCAAATCATGATCCAATTTTTTCCTGCAGGGAAAAAAAATTCCTTCCTGATCCCCCGAGAGGCAATTGGATATTCCATGGATCAACATTTCCTAAAAAACTTTATATCCAGTTATATTCTGTGTATCCAAGAAATAATCCAGGACTTTCCTACAGCAATCCACTGAGCTGGCCACAACCAACTCTGGAGGGAGTCTATTCCACATTCTCACAGCTCTCACTGTGAAGAAACCTTCCTGTATTTGGAGATTACATTTCTTTTCCTCCAGACGTAAAGAGCGCCCCCTTGTCCTCTGTGATGACGTATTATACATGGAGATCATATCCCCCCTTATGTATTATACATGGGGATCATATCCCCCCTTAGGTATTATACATGGAGATAATATCCCCCCTATGTATTATACATGGTGATCATATCCCCTCTTATGTATTATACATATACATGGATCATATCCCCCCTTATGTATTATACATGGAGATCATATCCCCCCTTATGTATTATACATGGTGATCATATCCCCCCTTATGTATTATACATGGAGATCATATCCCCCTTATGTATTATACATGGAGATCATATCCCCCTTATGTATTATACATGGTGATCATATCCCCCCCCCTTATGTATTATACATGGTGATCATATCCCCCTTATGTATTATACATGGAGATCATATCCCCGTTATGTATTATACATGGAGATCATATCCCCCCTTAGGTATTATACATGGAGATCATATCCCCCCCTTATGTATTATACATGGAGATCATATCCCCCCTTAGGTATTATACATGGAGATCATATCCCCCCCCCCTTAGGTATTATACATGGAGATCATATCCCCCCCTTATGTATTATACATGGAGATCATATCCCCCCATATGTATTATACATGGAGATCATATCCCCCCTTATGTATTATACATGGTGATCATATCCCCCCTTATGTATTATACATGGAGATCATATCCCCCCTTATGTATTATACATGGAGATCATATCCGTCCTTATGTATTATACATGGAGATCATATCCCCCCTTATGTATTATACATGGAGATCATATCCCCCCCCTTATGTATTATACATGGAGATCATATCCCCCTTATGTATTATACATGGAGATCATATCCCCCCTTATGTGTTATACATGGAGATCATATCCCCCCTTATGTATTATACATGGATATCATATCCCCCCTTATGTATTATACATGGAGATCATATCCCCCCTTATGTATTATACATGGAGATCATATCCCCCCTTATGTATTATACACATGGAGATCATATCCCCCTTATGTATTATACATGGAGATCATATCCCCCCTTATGTATTATACATGGAGATCATATCCCCCCTTATGTATTATACATGGATATCATATCCCCCCTTATGTATTATACATGGAGATCATATCCCCCCTTATGTATTATACATGGAGATCATATCCCCCCCCCTTATGTATTATACATGGAGATCATATCCCCCCCCTTATGTATTATACATGGAGATCATATCCCCCCCCCCTTCTGTATTATACATGGAGATCATATCCCCCCTTATGTATTTTAAATGGAGATCATATCCCCCCTTATGTATTATACATGGTGATCATATCCCCCTTATGTATTATACATGGAGATCATATCCCCCCTTAGGCATTATACATGGAGATCATATCCCCCCCCCTTATGTATTATACATGGAGATCATATCCCCCTTATGTGTTATATATGGTGATCATATCCCCCTTATGTATTATACATGGAGATCATATCCCCCCTTATGTATTATACATGGAGATCATATCCCCCTTATGTATTATACATGGAGATCATACCCCCCCCTTATGTATTATATATGGGAGATCATATCCCTACTTATGTATTATACATGGAGATCATATCCCCCGGGGTATGG